CCTCCCGGGGAGCAGTGGGGTCAGCGTGCCTGGGAGCTAGGAGGTCAAGGTCAGGTCAGGAGAGTGGACACATGGGGGACCCCGTCCTGGGGTCAGGACTGGACTGAGGGGGGGCTGGGAGGACCACCGTCACTGGGTGGGTCCTGAGCCCAGCTGGCCCCCGGGGGGACGTGCCCCGTCAGCAGCAGGACTTCTGGGCCGAGGCGGGCATGCAGCAGGCCTGGCAGGAGCCCACGGGCCGGCAGAGCAGGGACACGCAGGAGGCCCGGCGGCAGCAGTTGGGCTGGCAGGAGGAGGCGGGCACGCAGCAGGCCTGGCAGGAGCCCACGGGCCGGCAGAGCAGGGACACGCAGGAGGAGGGTCTGCAGCAGGACGAGGAGCAGGGGCTGGGCCGGCCGCAGGAGGGGGCTGAGCAGGGGGAGGCCTCGCGGCAGACAGGGGTGCAGCCGACGGGCTTGCAGCAGACAGGGGTGCAGCAGACAGACGCACCACAGGCTTCCTGGCAGGGGGAGGAGCTGCAGCAGGAGGGCTGGTAGGAGCTGGTGCAGGCTGATTGGCAGGGGCTGGACGCACAGCTCGCGGGGGTGCAGAGGAGGGTCAGGCAGGAGGGGGGTGTGCAGCAGGGGAGGGTGCATCCGCTGGATTGGCAACAGCTGGAGGTGCAGCAGGGGGGCTCGCAGCAGGGGGGCTGGCAGGAGCTGGTGCAGGCTGATTGGCAGGGGCTGGACCCCCAGCTCACGGGGGTGCAGATGAGGGTCAGGCAGGAGGCCGGGGTGCAGCCACTGGGGGTGCAGCTGCTGGACTGGCAACAGCTGGGGGCGCAGCAGGGAACGGTGCAGCAGGGGGGCTCGCAACAGCTCTCTGGGCAGTCGTCCACCTGCCAGGAGTCGGGGCAGGAGTCCCAGGAGCCGGGCAGGCAGACGTGGCTGCCGTAGCTCAGGTCGCTGGAGCAGACGGACAGGGTGGACGCGGCCATGGTGGGGGCGGTGGGGCTGGAGGAGGGTGTGCGTGTGAGTGTGAGTGTGTGTGTGAGTGTGTGAGGCGCTTGGGGATGCCAGGGCTTTTATATCCACCCCTGCCTGGTGTTGTCCCCACAGGAGGCTCACATGTCCCCTTCCTTGTTGGGGTTCCCACAGGCCAAGGAAGCCTAATTAGATGAGTCAGTGGCCCGGAGGTAGGTTGATGACCGCCTGATTGGGGTTTGGTCCTTGGGGAAGCTGGTGCGGGGGCTGTGCTGTGGACAAGCCATTCCACCTGCAGGTGCCCTGGTCGTGGGCCAGGAGAAATGTGTGTCCATGACTCTGTGGGAGATGCTCGTGGTGGCCCGTGGTGGGACTGCTTGTGGCTGTGCAGGGTCCAGGGTTATGGCGGAGAAAGGCGCAGACCTGCTCTTGCTGCCCCAGGGAGGGCTGAGGATGACAGGTCCCTCGGTGGAGAGGCCACGTGCTGGGCAGGAGCAGGGGGGCGGTGTACTGAGACCCCTGATGTTACCAGGAGTCTTTGGATCGCTGGTCTTTCACACCCACACCTGGACCAAGGCATGGGCAGGAGGGTCCCAGGAGGGTCCCAGGGCATAGACGGCTGTCCTGGGAGGGAGGCAGGGGCGGGTCTTTCTCTTGCTCTCACGGGAGCATAGTGCCCGTCGGGGGGAGCGGGTCCTAGCTGTCTCGGAAGCAGCATTGACCATGCAGGACGATTCTCGGAGACTTTGATGATTCTGTGGCATAGACTTGGGGATCTGGGCGGGTCCCTGGTGTAAGCTCGAGGAGGGACAGGGCCAGGTAACCCCAGGGCGGCCACCGCCGTCCACCTGTAAACAGTGCTGAGTATCCGGGAGATTCCTAAATGTCTGTCCCAGGGTGCTTCGCTCCAGGCCACACATCCTGACACGTCCACATACCGCCCACGCTCCCCCGAACCCAGCTCTGCCCTGGGGTCTTTCTGTGGGAAGGAGCCACCAGGCCGGAGCACTGGGTTCCCAAGCCAGAACCTTGGCAGCCACCCGAGTCCTCCTTGCTTGGCTCACTTTGGCGTCTTGGCCATCCTTGCAATCTGTCAGCCCGCTGGACACCACACCCCCTTCCTGCACCCCGGAGTGGCCAGTTCTTTCCCACTGAGACCTGTTCACCCCGATGCTGCCAAAAGGATCTTCCCGCGGAACAAATCAAACCCGGCGCCTCCCGCGACCACTCCATGTCATTTCGTCCGTCAGGCTCTTCAAGACAGACACGGCTGAAATCGGCCATCCGGCTGCGTGCCTGGGACCGCGCACCCCAGCTCTGCGGGACTGTCCGCTCCAAGAACGCCCCACACCTGCCCTCATAGCTGGCCGTCTGCACACTCTCCCCTGCCCGGAATTCCTCCTGGGGTTTCAGCCTCCAACTGAGCCAAGCCTCCCGCTCCCTGACGGCGAGAGGGCATCGTCCCATCCACCTGCCGCCTGGGTCCGCTGTGACCCCCGCCATGCAGCCCTGCAGCCATGCTAGAATGTAGGCATCTCGCGGGCAGTGACCTTATCTGTCTTGCTGACCACAGTGCCCAGCACAGGGTCTCCCAGGCAGGGCTGGCCGCGTCTGTTCAGCCGCAGAGCACCAGAGAGGCAGCTGGGACAGCAGACATTCCAGCCTCGGAGGTGGGAGTCTGAGATCAAGATGTCCGCTGGCTGCTCTCTCTGAGGCCTCTCCCCTCCGCGTGGACACGGCCGTCTTCCCTCGTGTCCACACGGCCGTCCCAGTGTGTGTCTGTGTCCTCCTCTTCTCATAGGGGCACCAGGCAGATTGAGGAAGGGACCCAGCTGACACAGACTGAATGTTTGGGTCCCCCCCAAAACATGCAAGGTGAAATCAAAACCCCGAAGATGATCAGGCCACGAGGGTTCAGCCTTGCGTGGGGAGCAATGTCCCCGTGAGCTCCCCCGCTGCTCCCCGACCACTCCGCAGCCCAGACCGCTCCTCTTGGGCAGCCCGCCAAACCAAAGTGCGAACGGAGCTGAGGTGTCCGGGTCGCAGCTCCTCAGCCTGGACAGAAGCAAACCTTCATCCTCTGCGGGAAGAAGCCTCCATCAGAGGCCTCCACGTGCCCACAGAGGCTTTCCCAGGACAAGGACCATTTCTCCCCCCAAACAAGGAGGCACCAGGGAAGAAGACGGTGAGCAAGAAGCGGCAGACATTCCAGAAAGCCGTGGTGGCCACGCGGAGACTTCAAACTCGGCAGGTGCCATCAAACACAGACAGGGTCTGTTGTGCGGGCAGGATGGGCTCTCCGGGGCTCTGTGGGGCTGTGTGCAGAGCAGTGCTGCTGGGAGGAGGGGGAGGACCCGCAGAGGCCCCGGCATGGAAGGAGTGGGTGGGCTGAAGATGAACCGGCTCAGACAGGGCCAAGGAGGCCAGAGGCCAGGTGGGCGGGTGTGGCCGTTCACAGAGCCGAGCTCACACAAGGGGGACGTGGCTCCAGGACCAAGTCAAGGGACAGGACACGCCTTGTACCACGCTCAGGCAGGTGCCGTGTCAGCAGCCACGGGGATCCTGGGCGACTGGCCAGCGAACCACCCTGGAGTCACAGTGCTCTGGGCCAGGAAACGCTGTCCATGGGACACCTGCTTCCTTCTGACCTCGGGTTCCTACATCACAATGTTGCATGGTTTCCCTCGAATGTGACCAGAGGGTGTGTGAGGCATCCCAGACAAGGCCCTTCCTCACTGGGGGCCATCATGGCCCAGAGAAGGCCTGCACCCTCCAGGGGAGGCACCTGCCTGGCTCTGACCCTGCAGGGACAGTGGGAATCCCTCCTCCCTGTTTCTTCCAATATTTGAATTCCTGAGTCGAGTGCCCAACGAGACCCAGCTTTCCCAATACCCTTCTCCCCCTAGCCATTGGTCCCTGTGATAGTTAATTTTATATGTCATTTTGGCCAGGCCATCGTGCTCCATTGTTTGGTCAAACGCACATAGATGTTGCTGAGAAATTTTTTAGATGAAATTAGTATTTAAATCAGTCGACTCTGAGTGAAGCAGGATATCTGCCATTCAGCAGGTGAGCCGCACCCAATCAGCTGAAGGACGTAGGAGCTGAGCGGGCCCCCCAGGAGGAAGGGAAGCTTCTGACTCAAGCTGCAGCATCGCCACTCTCCCTGGGAAGCCTGCCCTGCAGATTTCAGACGTGCCAGGCTCCAAAGGCACATGAACCAATTCCTCAAAATCAGTGTCTCTGTTATACATATGCACACATCCTGTCGGCTGCTACTCTGGAGAACCCTGCCTGACACAGGCTCCGGTCATCCCTGCACACAGCGCTCACGCTCCCGGTGTCCTCCTGTGGAGGGAAGTCCCGCCCCTGTGCGGAGGGTCTCTGGAGAATGGCTGCCACCATCTTGCCCAAAGCCAGTCCTGGAGCAGCCTTCATGACTTCAAGGCAGAGGCTTTATTAAACAGGCTCTCCTTTGTCCCTAGCAAAGCTCCACAGCCCTGAGATGTAAGGCTCAGGGGCTGGACAGGTGGCCCTGTGTCCCTCACTGGTGAAGGTATCCAGGGGTCTCCCAAGGTGGGCAGGTTTCTCTGTGCTGGAGGCTGCAGGGGGACAACAACCACAGAAGGCCCAGCAGCGGGTGCAGGTGGCCAGCCCTGCCCAGGGTGCTGTTGCCCTGGATGCAGCCCCGCCCACGTGTAGCATCCAAGCCCTTCCCTGTGGTTTGCCGAGATAAGCATTTGAGGCCTTTGGAGAAGGATTGACAATGACTTTATTCATCAACAGACAGGTCGCTCGCATAGGGCAGGACAAAGCGACCTCAGTCCAGCCAGGATGGAGAGGGGGATGCTGGGTGGGACATAGCGCCTGGGGGGAGCCTGGAGCTGCCCAGGGAGCCAGCCAGACAGTGAGGGCTCAGCCTTGCTTGCTGAGGTGGGTGCTCTGGGGCAGAAGGAGACCCCAGACTGGGCTCAAGGCTTCTAATATTTCAGGTGGAAGTACGAGTTGGCCTTACTAGTAATGGGAGGACGTGCCCCGTCAGCAGCAGGACTTCTGGGCCGAGGCGGGCACGCAGCAGGCCTGACGGGAGCCCGTGGGCCGGCAGAGCAGGGACACGCAGGAGGCCCGGCGGCAGCAGCTGGCCTGACAAGAGGAAGCGGGCACGCAGCAGACCCGGCGGGAGCCCACGGGCTGGCAGAGCAGGGACACACAGGAGGAGGGTCTGTAGCAGGACGAGGAGCAGGCGCTGGGCTGGCTGCAGGAGGGGGCTGAGCAGGGGGAGGCCTCACAGCAGACAGGGGTGAAGCAGACAGGCTTATAGCAGACAGAGGTGCAGCAGACAGGCTTGTAGCAGACGGACGCACCGCAGGCTTCCTGGCAGGGGGAGGAGCTGCAGCAGGAGGGCTGGCAGCTAGACTGTTGGCAGCATGAGGAGGCCGAGCAGGGGGAGGTCTCGCAGCAGACAGGGGTGCAGTAGACGGGCTTGCAGCAGACAGGGGTGCAGTAGACGGATGCACCGCAGGCTTCCTGGCAGGGGGAGGAGCTGCAGCAGGAGGGCTGGCAGCTAGACTGTTGGCAGCATGAGGAGGCCGAGCAGGGGGAGGCCTCGCAGCAGACAGGGGTGCAGCCGACGGGCTTGTAGCAGACAGAGGTGCAGCAGACAGGCTTGTAGCAGATGGACGCACCGCAGGCTTCCTGGCAGGGGGAGGAGCTGCAGCAGGAGGGCTGGCAGCTAGACTGTTGGCAGCATGAGGAGGCCAAGTAGGGGGAGGTCTCGCAGCAGACAGGGGTGCAGTAGACGGGCTTGCAGCAGACAGGGGTGCAGTAGACAGATGCACCGCAGGCTTCCTGGCAGGGGGAGGAGCTGCAGCAGGAGGGTTGGCAGGAGCTGATGCAGGCTGATTGGCAGGGGCTGGACCCGCCGCTCACAGGGGTGCAGATGAGGGTCAGGCAGGGGCTGGACCCGCAGCTCACATGGGTGCAGCTGCTGGACTGGCAACAGCTGGGGGCGCAGCAGGGGGCGGCACAGCAGGGGGGCTCGCAGCAGCTCTCTGGGCAGTCGTCCACCTGCCAGGAGGAGTCGGGGCAGGAGTCCCAGGAGCCGGGCAGGCAGACGCGGCTGCTGTAGCTCAGGTCGCTGGAGCAGACGGACAGGGTGGATGCGGCCATGGTGGGGGCGGTGGGGCTGGAGGAGGGTGTGAGTGTGTGTGTGAGTGTGTGTGAGGTGCTCAGGCTGCTGGCTTTTATACCCCCCGTGAGTGTGTGTTGTCCCAACAACAGGCTTAGTGAAGCCTTCCCTTCCTCGTTGGTGTTTAGTGTTGTGCTGTTTTCCCGGTGCTGGGTTACTGTCTGAATGCCGCAGGCTTGTGAGGCTCCTGATTGGAGTTCAGGCTATCCTGACCTGTGTTTGTCCCCAAAGGAAAGACAGTAGAAATGCTTTGTGCTTTCATAGAGACCATAGAAATCAGGTGATTTTCTGAAAGTGATAGTCTGTGTTCCATCCCATGGAGGGGGTTGCTCTTCTAACCCAAGGGAAGGGATGAGGGTAGAGCAATCCTAGAATCTGTGCTTTGAGCAAAGGGAGAGATGCTCAGCTGTGGACAGGGCTGACGACACTGAGCCAGCCTGGCCATGGGGCAGTATGCACTTCGTGGGTTGATGCTGCTGGTTGTAGTGGGTGTTGATGGGGCATGTGTCTCCCAGGAGTGAGCCCCGGGGCAGGTATGAAGAAAGTGTCCTGGGAGCAGACATTGGCTCACAGAAGGGGCCACGGTCATGGATGCAGGCTAGCACAGTAGGAATGACCACGATGGGCAATGCATTTGTTTCATCGCTTCATGCCCCTGTGCTTGGTTCCGCACCTGAGACCTGGTGAGTACACAGCATCTGGCATGGTCCCTTATGTCTTCATGGACGCTTGGCTACTATACTCTGCCAAGTCTCTGAAGGGGCAAGGGCAAGGCCCTTGGTGATGCTCTGAGCTGCAGGGTTCCATCAAGGACTTGTTGGGGGCCAGTGGGATTCAGGGTTGAAAGCCTCACTGTCCTCTGATGGGTGGGACTAGGGGCTGTCCTGGGGGCCGCATGATAGTCAGTCCTCAGTGGAGAAATGTTATTCTCTCAAAGACTAATGGCTTAAAACCTTCCAAATCTATTGAAAAACTTTAATCTACACATCCAGGAAGCTCAATGCACTCCAAATAAGTTGTCAATCAGGAATCCTCCATCCAACAAGGTTATTTTTTACAAATGAGTCCAAATACATTCCCAGATAAATAAAAACTGAGGGATTTTGATATTGGAAGACCCACCTTATAAAACACACTGAGGGGAGCCCCTCAGGCTGAAAGCAAGTGACCCCAGCCGGGAATTCTGATCCACAGGAGGACGCGAAACATGCCAATCAAGGTGGTCATGTGATTACAACAGAAGGTGTGGATCCGTGTTTTTCTCCTTCACTGAGTCTTTCATCGTTTGCTTCTCTGACTAAAGCAGCTGCCTACAACAGGACGCACGTACTGCATTGCGGGGCCTGTGGTGTGATGTGATGTGTTAGACAATACAAGGGAGGCGAGTGGGAGCAAAGCTGTGTCCGGCGGAGGAAATGACCGCGGACGGCAATTCGGATCCACAGGAACATGTGAAGGGAACCAGAAACGATAAAAAGGCGAGTATATTATATAAGTATAATACTTGCTTTCCTGTCTTCTCTCAGCTTTTTACAAGTCATAAAAGCATATTAGGTAATAATTATAACAATATATTGAGGGGTTTTTAACATTGACAGGTCGAGTTTATGTAACAGCAAGACCACGAAGGGACAAGATGGAGCTCTGTACAAAAAGGAGCATGTTTTTACGCCCCTGGAATTGACTTAGTGTAAATCGGAAGCAGATTCTGGTAAGTTAAAAGAAACATATGGAAGCCCCAGAGCAAAACTAGGAAAAACTAAAAAAAAAAGTGAGACATCATTGAAGAAATAAAAATGCTGCTTAAGAAAATATTCGCTAAGTGCAAAAGAGTGCACCAAAGGAGGACGAGAGGAACACACACAAAAGACACGAGACACAGAGGAAGCAAGACAGCGAAGACACCGGCAAGATCCAGCTGCCGCCCATTCACACCACTGGCTGCCACCGTGTTACGGAAAACCACCTCACACGCTGGATTAGCAAATATTGACCCATAGCTCCTACGGGAACAAGAGTTAGCTTCCTGTGTGCCCTCGTCCCATTTTCATCAACCGATCAATACAGAGCCTCCTTTTATGTGTGCCTAGGAAAAACGCCGTGTCTTCCTTCACATGTAATGCTTCTGACACCAGGTATGTGGGTTTTTCCCACCAACCAGCTCTCTAACACCCTCTGGGTGTCCCACAATTGAGTTTCATTCCGACACTAACCTACTGCAGAACCCCAGGTTAAGAGCTCAGACCCATGAGACTGGCCCCACTTCAGATGCCAGCAGTAGATGCCCAGTTACCCACAACTTCTGTCTGACTCGGCTACAAATCACAGGTTCCTATGAACTCCTCCATGGGTTCAATATTTTGCTAAAGCAGCTCACAGAACCCAGGAAAAGAGCTGATTTCCTTTTGCTGACTTATTGCAAGGGATATTTTTAGGATACAGACAAACAGCCACATGGAGGGATACAGAGAGTGAGGTCTGTAGGGGTCCTGAGCAAAGGAGCTTCTCTCCCTGTGGAATTGGGGTGCACCACCCTCCTGGCATGTGGACATGTTCACCAAACTGGAAGCTCTCAGAATTCCATACATTTGGGGTTTTTATGGAGGCTTCATCATGCAGGCATGATTGATTATTAACTCAATTTCTAGCCCCCTCCTCTTTCCTGAGGATGGAGATGGGGCTGAAAGCACCAAGCTTCTAATCAAAGCTTGGTCTTTCTGGTGAGTAGCCCCCATCCTGCAGCCACTAAGAATCACCTCGTTATAACAAAAATCATTCCTACCACCCAGGAAATTCCAAGGGATTTAGGAGCTTGATCTCAGGAACTAGTGTCAAAGACCAAATATTAGCAAGAACCAGGGACAGAGATATATATGTATTTTTTATTTTATATATATATATATATATATGTCAATACACATTATTATTTCACAGTGAATACTTAATATTCAGTGCTGATGCTTTAACACTGAAGTCACTTCCCAATAGCAACATAACTCACTCCTGAACAAAGCTTATCTAACATATGTATTTTCCCTGTGAGGCACATCATAGCCTTCTTGCACTTAGGATGCCATTTCAAACAGTGACATCACCAATAAGAAGCACGAGAGCATGGAAAATGTGGCACTAAATAGCACAGTATACTTGTTTGCAGCATGAGCTGAAACAAGATGTGGAGCTGTTTGACCTCAGTTGGGAACACCCATGTGGGGACACCCAATGTTTGCTGCCCTATGCATGTCCACGAAGCACTGTGAAGGCACAGTGAGTATTGACTTTGAGGTTACAAATCAATTTTAGTGAGTAAGTGAAGTTGCAAATGCAAAATCCACGAATAATGAGGATCAACTATGTATCAATAATAACATTAATTGTGAATTAATTAATAAAATCAAAGGGAAGATGGTTAAACTGGATAAAATTGAGATTAAACTATACACTCATTACAGGAGACACACTTTAGAGTAGAAGATAGAGCTAGATTGAAAGTAAAAGGATAGAAAAAGATATATCATGGAAACAGCAGCCATAAGAAAATATTAATATTTTACTAACACCAGATAAAGTAGACTTTAAAACAAAAATTGTTACTAAAGACAAAGAGGGACTTTTTTAATAATAAAAATGTCAATCCATGAAGAATATGTAATAATTGTAAACACATATGCAAATAATAACAGCACCAAAATACACAAAGCAAAAGCTGACAGACATAAAGGAAAAAATAAACAATAATATTAGTTGAAGACCTCAATATCCCAATTTCAACAATGGATGGAACAACTGGAGAGAAGATCAAGGACACAAAGAACGGCACTATAAACCAGCAAGACCTAACAGACATCTGTCAGACACCTCAGCCAACAACAGCAGAATATCCTTCTTCAGAAATGCGCAGAGCATATCCTCTAGGATAGAACATAGGTTAAGCCATAAAACAAACCCCAATATGTTAAAATGGATAGAACACAAAATATGTGCTCTGACCACAATGGAGTGAAATTAAAAATTAGTAACAAAAAAAATTGGGATTCATAAATTAAACAGCACACTCCTAAATAACCAAAAGGTCAAAGAAGAATCAAAAGGGAAATCATAAAATACTTTTAAATGAAAGAAAGTGAAGAACAAAGTACCAAAACTTATAGGATACAGCTAAAACACTTCTTAGAGACTTATAGCTAGTAAGTGCATATATTAAGAAAGAAGAAAGGTCTCAAATCAATAACTTAAACTTCCACACTGCAGACAAGCAGAAGGAAGGAAATAATAAAGAAAAGGGCATAAATAAGTGAAACAGAGAATAGAAAAGCAATAGAGAAAAATCAATAAAACGGGCTCTTTGAAAAGATCAATAAAATTGATAACCCTTTCGCTACATTGATCATGAAAAAGAGAGAAAGAGAAGGAGAAGACTCAAATGATGAGAATCAGAAATGAAAGAAGGGTCACTGATGTCAGCCTCACAGAAATAAAAAGGATTACAGAGAAATGCTATGAACAACTGTATGCTGATAACATATAAATTAGATAAAATGAATACTTAGGAACAAGATAACTGCAAAACTAGTGCTCTGAAAGCTATAGAACATCATTTTTGTTTTGTTAAAGAAAATCTAAATCCGTGGGAAAACATCTCTGTTCAAGGATGACAAGAGCTGACACGTGAGTATGGCAGTAATCTCCCATTTACATATTTATGCAAAATCCCTATCAGAATCCAAGCAACTTCTTAGTACAAACTGACAAGTTGGTGTTAAAATTAATATGGAATTGCAAGGAATGCAGAATAAGCCAAAACAATCTTGAATAAGAACAAATTTGGAAGACTGGCATTTCTCAGTTTCAAAATTTACTACAAAGCTAGTCATCGAGACAGTGTGCTACTGGCATAAGGTTAGACAATAAATTGGTATTTATTCATTTATCAAGTGGAATACAATTGAGCGTCCAGAAATAAATGCATATATCTATAGTC